AAGGCAGGGTGGAGAAGGGGCCGAGGAGGAGGAGGAGTGCGCTGTGGAATGCAGGAGGATGCTGACCAGAGAGAGACAGAAAGACGGCAGAGAGAGGGGAAGGAAGTCCGCAGCGCACTGGCAGAGGGACTCCAAGGGTGACATTAACCCTGTCCCCTGCCTATCTGAGGCCACTCCCTCTCCCTTTGTGGACCCTGCCGCTCCAAGGGCCGTCTCCCCTGCCGGAGTCTGTTCGAGACCCCAACGCTACGGCCACTGGGGGCGCCGCACCAACGTCCAAGGGAGAGCCCGACAGGCATCACCCTGGACAGTACCCTGAGCTATAAACACCATCTTACCAATGTAGCAGTGAAAATACACACACGAAACAACATTCTCCAAACATTATGTGGTACAACTTGTGCTGCAACCCTTAGATGCGCAGCTTTGGGGTTAGTGTACAGAACTGAGGAATATGGTGCTTCAGTGTGGCTCAACAGCTTCCATGTCCACAAACTTGATGTCCAACTCAATACAACAATGAGGACCATCAGTGGATGTATTAATCCCATCTGACCTATTGGCTACCCACGTTGTGCCACATCGCTCCCCCGCATCTCTGAAGGCAAGAAGCTTCGTGAATATAGAAAGATCATTGAAAACAGAAAGTTGCCCATCCATAAAGACATGGCTGACGCGGGCATATCAGGACTAAGATCCCGGCAATAAGATCTGCACAAATCCCTCAATCACAACATTTTGATCTAGGGAATGAATGGTTGTGAACATGAATGCAATCAGTTCCACCCGATATCCATAACCTGGCAAACACCAATGAGAGGCCCGCAAGGTTTGACTTGCCACATAAAGTATGGAAGACAGCTAATAGAATACCAACAGGCTTTGACGCTTGTGCAGACCTGTTGTTTAAATGGGGCAAAAATACCAGGACCTGAATGCGACTGTGGTACAGACCACCAAACTATTTTCCATCTGTCACAGGTAGGTGAGCGCTGTGCTTTCCAGAGAGATGTGACAGAGTACTGTGAACTGTCCCCAGCTGCGACTGAGTGGATTGAAAATGTAGATATTAGTATTTAGGGGATTGCCCAGTCGGTCTGCATACCCATTGTGTCAACTTGGTTACGTATTTTATATCATTATATGCCTCCTGTGTGTAACTCTGCCATATGGTAAATAAATAAATGGGACAGTATGATGAGGCCTTTATTAGCTTCACTTTAAAAGCAAGATGAAGAGAAATATTTGTACTGTCTGTATGAGACCTACAAGGCCGGAGTTCAGAGGGCAGCTGATTGGAACTGAAAATACCCTAACCCAACTTGATTGCAGTTGGGAACTTCCTTACTGGAGCGGTGGCGCAGGCAGTAAAACGCCTGCATTAGTAACATCGCTCGGCAGCCACTATGGCTGTTCGAGCACCACCGCGGTCGAGGTGAGCTCTCGACCTTTATCCCAGCTCCCGCCCACCCAGCGGTCCGAAAGCAACTAGTTGCAAGTAGATAAATGGGTACCCACCCTTAGTAGGGTGGGGGGCACCCTGCCTAATGTGGTGGTCGACGGCGGAGATGGCGGAGATGGCGACAGCGGCGGCGGCGAGACATCGGCCCTGGAGATCGGAGGTGGCGTCGCGCGGCAGACGGCGGTGGCAGCAGCAGCAGTAAGCTACTGCGACCAACGGAGCGATCCCTGCTGGCCAGAAAGGAGGAGACATCCGGGCGGCCGCTGCCGAGACGGGCGCATGATGACGTCGGATGCTGGCGTAAAGCAGAGCCGGAAGGACGTTGCTGGAACCAGAGGAAGGCGGGAACCGTGCGCCCAAAGGAAGAACTGCCGCCGGATCGAAATGGAGCCTGCCGGGGACGAGCGAAGTGCCGAGCCGAGAAAGAGCATGCCAATCCACCACCACAGGGGTGCCAGTAGGAAACCCCACCCCTACAAACTCTGTGGCCCTAGTTAGGATAAAATTGTGTGACTAGCACCACATGTAAGCCATTCAGAGACCCCCTGAGAAGGGGGTTCGAGCGGGATATAAAGTCTAAAGTTAAATAAATTAAATAAATTAATTAATTAATAACTTCTCAGTGAGGTGGGCAGGGACCCGGGAAAACTTTTGGGGGAGCAGACATCATTAGAGAGAAAAACCAGCTTCCCACAAAACCTGAACTTCTGATATTCAGTGGGAAACTGCCATTGGCAATCATTCTCGGTAGATGCAGAGTGGTGTCTCTCTGTCTCCACAATCCAATATTTTGCACTGGAAAAAATGGAATAAAAACTGGTTCGGTTTTATTCTGGAAAGAACTACCACACAATCCTCAGCCAATGAGAGTTCCAAGAAGTGCACGTTTCCTGACTAGAGCTCTCTGAGGTGATCTGGAAGCTGCAGGACTCTATGAACAACTTCTCGTCAAAAGAGAGGGATAGCACCCCCTTCACCTGAGGTGGGGGCATCCTGCCCCTCTTCCCTAAAAACCAGAGAGGGCTCCGCACTTGTTATTGAACACCTGCCGAGCTGGCCCAAGGTGGGACTCTACAGCTGAAGAGCAGGAGTTACAGTGGGAAAGGCCCACCCCCGGTCCCTCCTCTGGATCTTAAACAACAGACGGGCCTTTCTATGCTGGAGAAGGAGCTCCCTCGGGCATACACGGCCATCCCATCCTGTTTCAGTCGAACTCCTAATTGAACATGAACGGCAGGCAATTCTTTCCCTGCCACTTCTTGATTCTTCCTCCTGGTTGTCTGGGACTTGAACAAGGAACTTCTTGTCTGGTGCCCCTTGTTTTATTGGTCACAGGCCCAGCAAGCAGTCAGGGCTCAGGGTCTGCCACTGCGTGGGCTGGATTTACAGCACAAGCACATCAAACTGAAAATGAAGTGGCATTTGGAGAAGGAGCACTGCGAGATAGAGGACAAGCGAGGCAGAGTGTCGCCTGGGAGCGAAAGGGAAGATAAAGTGGAGCAGGGAAGAGATGCAAGGCACAAGAAGAGGCAGATGTGAAGCTGGTGAGAGGACTGAAGGACATTTCTAGGGAATCCGTGCAGAATACCTATGTGGGGAGGTGGGGGGTGGCAGCCACTAAAGAAACAAGAAAAGTCAGCAAAAATATTTTCTGGAAAAAACACACATGAATGTTAGATTCTGATGCAACATTTCCCATGTTTATGCCTCTGACGGAACAATTCCCAAAAGGCACTTCTATGTCAAGACCAGCCCTAAGAGTCCAATTAAGTCAGCTGATCGGTATCCATACCAGAGGTAAACTTTTATTCTTCCGCTTGGGACAGAATGTATCTTTCAGATAGGTAATGATGGGAAGGAAGGCGGAGCGGGCCAGCATCCCCCATTCTTTTCCGGGATCCTTCCCCATAGAAAACAGGGCCTCGTCTTCTGCGTCCCACAAATTCTCTCTTTCAGGAAGGTTTAAGAGTGCAAATAACCAAACAGGTCAGCAGAGGAGACTTGAAAAATATATGTTCAAATTTGAGGATTTAAAATATTCTCAAATTAACGCCTTATGTTGTTGTTGTTGTTTTTAAAGGAAAGGCGTGCAAACTAAACGAGAAGACCACAAACAGGCTAGTCCAGGCTGGGGGAGGTGGAGTCCTGAGGAAAGAGGGGGGGTCTGTGGGGCACTGGTTTCCCCCCTCCCCCTCTAGAGGACTCTTGGGGGAAAGGGAACTACATTTTGCAAATAAACGCAGTTGACATACCAGCCGCCACCAAAGCATGAGTCAGCAGTGTGCTCAGCTCAGCAAATGAAAAGCATCCACAACATCTGTCTTCTGGGGGGGGGGGGCTGAACTGCATTTTTAACATGTAAAAATACACTGGCCAAAGTATCACTGCCTTCCGGGCGATAAGCATTCCAGGCTCCAAATGCCACCCCACCTGCTGGCACAGGGCCCTTCTCGTTCCAGCTACAGCCACCCGCATCGCGTTCAGGCCCCCGCATGTCAAAGACAGCCCACTGCGGTCCTCACTGCTGCTCCCCACTCCGGCCAGAACGAAAATGACGCTGACACCTGCTGGACAAACATTTCCAGGGACAAATGCACTGTAAACAAAAATGGATCTCGGGGCGGGACGAACCACACGCGGATGCAAACATCCCCCCCGGCAGAAGGAAACGTGAAAGCAGGAAGGAGCCTCCGAGGGAAGGCTGCTGGCCGAGTGCCTCTTCGGAACATTCTGAACGGCTTCTTAAGTAACCGCGTAAGTGCCGAGGCCTCCCTGGATCTGCTCCCTCTTTCCCACAGTCCTGCCGTTTGGAGCAATCTGATCTATGCAGAGTACCAATGAACAAGCATGTGCCCGTTGACAACATTTCTGGAGGCGGCATAATGGAATGGCTGCCCAGGGGCCTAAACAGAGGCATCACCAGGTTTCAGAAGATGCTACAAGAACAGAACATTATCTTGTGGAAGACACACAACTACACACTTGGGAAGGTCACAAGATGGATCATTCGTGCTAGTAAAGTTGCTCACGGTGGCTTATTTTTAAGACTCTCTTTTCAGTAACATGCGATGGAGCTCCCCAGTGGACACCGCTCATGCTCAGCTGGGAAATTAACTGTTTTCGCTAGAAACCTCCACTGTCCAGGCTGATTGCGAGGACAGCCTTTTTTACATAACACTCCAAGCAGACAGACAAGGCAGGGCCCCAAGAGACCAGCCTCCTCTCTTAGATCTGGTGCCACGTAAAGCTCAGACATATTCACACAGACAGAACCGTGACCGAGCGGTTCTGGTTTCCTTCCAGGCGACCTCCTCCCAGCCCTGCAGTGCCTGCTGCCCACAACCTCCACTACTGTGCTGCAAGCTTCTCCAAGGGTCCCGGTCCCATGCATTTCGTCTGCTTACAGGGAACCTGGGAAGCCAGGAAGCCCAGCCTCATCTGCTGCTTAGGCAGGAAACGGCTTTCCCTTTCCCCTGACCAAGTCAAACAAGTGAGCGCTTTTTTTGCTCCGACCGCAGGAGCGATCAATCGGCGTTACCTTCAGTCACATAATTGTGGTCTCGGAGGAAGCCGTGGTTAATCGTCCGCGGGTCCGCGTCCTCGCCCATTGACAGCAGGATTAGTCAGCATGCCTCTCCGCAGTGGACGGGTGGAATCAGCAGAGGTCGTCGCAAGAGCACCATCCATGCTGCTGCCGCGGCCGCCGCCTAGCAGAGGCAGGGAACTGGCTGGGGGGCGGCGGCGGCGGCGGGCATGGTGGCCGGGCGCGGGGCTGCAGCGGCGCCGCCCGGTCTGCAGGCGAGGGTCAGTTCAAGGAGGGGGAGCGAGAGGAGGAGAGAGCCGCGCGCCGGCCCCCCCCCCCGGCCCGGGCCCAGGGGCAGCACTGCAGGGCGGGATCCCGTCCTGTCGGCAGAGGGGCTTCCAAGCAGGCGGGCGGGCGGGCGAGGAGCCTTGCGAGAGGCGAAGGAACCGGCAAGCCGCAGACTGCAGCAAGCGTTGCCTGGGAGCCGCGCCACGATCGCCTGCCGTTGCAGCGGCTGCTGTCATCCGCCCGTGCCGCTGCATCCCAGCAAGCCCCTCCCAGCTCGCCATCCAACCAGGCAAGATTTGCATGGAAGTAAAACTGAAAAAGGGGGGATGCAGCAGCAGGTACATTATTCCAGCTCTTCTGCCTGGAAGCTGGGCCCGAAATGTAGGCGACGGGGGAAAGATGTCAGCATGGTGGGGAAGGCTGGTCCTGGCACATCTCCCAGGGCCCCGGGACACCGCGGGCGGGCGGGCGGGCGGGCGGCCCTTTCATCCGCAGCCAAGCAGACTGCAGATCACATATTTAAAGACCATGCCTCGCAACTGAGTCGAAATAGCAGACAGACACCTGTGTGCACAAAAATAAACGGTGGGAGATTATCCGATGTTAAAACAAAATTGATGAGATCTAGTCCAGTCTTTGCAAACTGTATTATCTTGTCTTCCCTCCTCCCTACCTTCTTTCCCTTGCATCCTTGGATGTCTTAGGTACTGGGCTAGCCACAAAAAGAAAAGTAAGCCCTCACGGTGTTAACACAAGCACAAGAGTTTCTCGACAGTCACAGTAGTTGTTGGAATTTTTCCTTTACCCAGCAGAGGAGGAAGAGGAGGTCTCCGGTGGAGTCAGATAAAGAAGAGTGCATTGCGATCAGCGGTGCTGTTCATTGCATAGAGCTGTTGATTCTATTTTCTACACATCCGCATTTTGTTTGGCAATCCCATCATTCAGCCTGTCTGCAGCCCCGCCATCCCGGAGGTCTGCAGGGCTGAGTGCAGTATCCAACGGCACAGCCATCCTACTGAATTCAAGAGGGCCCAGCAAGCATGAAGAGAAGTCTAGCTTTACGGCGGCTGCGTTCGTGAGCAAGGATAGTGCTGTGCCTCCTCAAGTGACAGGAGACTGCAGGCGAGTGTCAGCAGTTTATTGTGTTCCACCTGCCCAGGGCTTCATCAGGATGGATGGGAAAGAGGCATGGGGGAGCCGGGTGGATCTGCCGCCCAAGACAGAGGGTCCCCAGCCGGACCCTCCCACCCCGCTGGTCAACACAGTCAAGGTCAGTGGTCAACACAGTCCAGCGGGGAAGGGATATCCAAATCTAGCACCTCCCCAAAGCGGTCAAGGCTTGACAGGGGCCCCCCCCCCATTACATCAGAACTTTGTCCTTGAGCCTATTATTCCTAAACTAGACAACAACTGCAGGCAGCACTTTCGCGATCTTGCTGGCTCAGACCAGGGGTCCCTCTGATCCAGCAAACGTGTTTCACCCAAAGACCGCTCAGGTACCCTGCCCACGAACAAGGCATAGCGGCCAAGGCCTTCCCCTGCTGCCGCCTCCCAGCACTGGCGTTTAGAGGTGTGCTGCCTCTGTATGTGGTAGTTCCCTTTACTCACCATAGCTAGTGTGGCCATTCCTTCCTGAAACCTGCCCAACCCTCTCTTAAAGCCCTTTATGCTTGTGGCCATCTGGACATCTTCTGGCGGCGAATTCCAGGACGTAATCACTCAATGATTAAATAAGTATTTCCTTTTGTATGTCCTGAACCTACTGTCTATCAACTGCATTGGGGCCCTCTAGCACTAAGGGAGACGAAGACAAAATTCTATCTACCGTTTCCTCCTTGTGCACCGTTTCATAAACCTCTATAACATTCCCGAGGTCTAACTGCTAAACATCTAACTGCTCTATTTTCCAAAATGTTCTGCTCTCCTTATTTTAAACCAATAATAGATCAGCCACAATCTCGGTTTTAACTTCTGAGACAGGAGGCTTTTTCCACAATAACTCAGTGACCTTGCTCTGGACTCTTGCTTTGTTAAAAAAACCCATGCAAATACCCAGAATTAAACTTGTTGGTCTTAAAGGTGCCACTGACTGGACTCAAACTCAAAAGATTTTCAAGGTATGAGCTTCTGAGAGCCAAAACTCCATTCGTCACATACTTGACAAGGGGTGCTTAGACTTCAGAGAGTTCTTACCTGGAAATCTTGCTGGCCTCTCCGGTGCTGCAGGACTTGAATCTATGTGTGCTCCTGCAGGTCAACGCAGCTGCCCTCTGGAACTCTGAAAGTAACTTTTCCAGGAATCCCGTCGTGCCTTCTTGAGACATAAGGCTGCAATTTGTGATACTCAAGTGGAAAATTTCATTAAAATGAAATCATTTTTTTTAATGTATTTATGAATGAAAGGAGTCAAAAGGTCTTACCTCAGCAATTTATAAGGTCTTAAATCAGGGTTCTGCCATGGACTACTCCTGGTTTTTCAGTAAATGGCAAGGAATAGTAGGCAATATTTCAAATGAGCTGTGGCAATTTATCTTTACCTCTAAGGCAGCAGCATCTGTCAGCATCCAGCTGAAGGGAATTTATTATAAGGTCTTATATCAATGGCATCCAACCCTCACAGGTTAAATCGAATCTATGGAACCAACTGCATGGTATGTATGCTGGAAATGTGACTCCCATACAGCTGACATTGAGCATGTGTGGTAGAACTGCAGAGCAGTAAAAATGTTTTGTAAGAGTGTTGTATGAAATACATCAAATGGTTGGTCTTTATTTACCTAAGGATCCTAAAGCCTGTGTACTCAGACTGTTAAGTGATAACGCTCCTGGAAATAGAGCTCAGTCTCTGTACAGCAGAATTCTGTGTTCTGGCTGCTTGAGGAATAATCGGTTCACACTGAGGCTTGTTACTTAGAGAACATAAAAAGAGTAAGTTCTTTATTATAAGAGAACATACAGGAAAGGCAGCGTAAAAGCTAGCCATCAAGCTTGGGTGGAGAGAGTGCTGGATAGGAAAGCCAGCGTAAAGGCTTCTAGCTAGCCATCAAGCTTGGGTGGAGAGAGATTGCAGAAAACATGTCCAGCCCTCATGGTCGACAGAGGGAAAAAGAGAGAGAAGGCAGATGGATGGAAGGAGAGTAGCATTCTGGGTAACAAAGGGGCAGCAACATAGGGCTGTCAGCCTCCAAGTGAGACCAGGGAATCCCCAGGAATTACAGCTTATATCCAGACTACCAGGGAGAAGATGGGTGCTTTGGAGGAGGGTGGGCTCTTTCCGGCATTGAGTTCTCCCCAGGCTCCAAATCTCCAGGAGTTTCCCCACCTAGCTCTGGCCACCCTACCCCTCATCCCCTGCTGGTGTCCCGGGG